GTTGCTGTCAGTTTTTCCCCATTCCTGCCAATTAATATAGTAAAGTCCCTAACACACCAAAACTCCCCAGGCCAGTAGGGGGGCTTGGGGAATTCTGGGAGTTGATGTCCACTCATCTTAAAGTGGCCAAGTTTGGACAACACTGGGCTAAGCATTCCATAATTTTGATCACGTGACCCTTGCAACTCATCCATTCTTTGATTCTGTGACATTCCGGATACATAAAAATATTAGAAGCATTTCGGCGATATCTTATTTGTCCCTGGATCTTTGTGCAGAACTGATCCGGTTGTCAGAAAAGAGAATTGAATGAATTTCCAGTATTTTTGGTTAAAAGGAGTATTCAAATGCATTGAACTTGTGTCTAAAAACAGGGTTAGTTTCTGGGAGAAGAACGAGAACTGCTAAAGAGGATTCATTGCTCAAACATCAGCAATGCTTCAGCAGCTGTTTAAAATCAGTACAATGGAAATGTTATTTTTCTATCGCTTTTATCAGCATTGAGATTCTTTGGCAGTTTCATCGGACAGCTGGAAAGCCGTGACTAATTTGGAAAGTGTAATTGCATGTGACTATATTTAATTGCTTGATTTCCATGTTATTTTGACAAATGTGTTCAAAAGCAGTTCACGAACACGTTGCCCTCCAATGTGGAACATCTACCTCCAGCTACAGTTTTAGCCAAAGAAATACAAACAAGAGTTTCTGATTACTTTTCAACAGTCAGTATAGACCCACAATTCAGGGAACGTTGAGAAACGAGGAGCCCAAGTGATTGGCTTAATTGAAGAGGTTCAGTGGGAATAAAACAGGGCAAATCTAAATGAGGCTGTGGTTTAATCACTGAATATCTACATTTTGTCTGCGTGCTTTTTAACAAAAATGTGTTAACAAAATTAACAGAGACTGCAATGGTCAACCTGTCGGCTAGTTTCAGATAGACTGCCGTGTTTTATGTACACCCTGCTTCATTGATGGGGCCCCATTTATGTCCCCAGGCGGTACCCACCTCACCAGCTGAAAGCTGAATACACATTTACATGCACTGAAAAAATACTTGTTTTTTTATTTATTTATTTTACTTATGTATATTTCAAATTTGGACACCGCCCATCTCACGAGGAAGTGACTCTGGGCGGTTTACAGTAAAAACAACAAATAAATATTAGTGAAAATACAATAAAAGTAGGATAAAAGTACAATAAAGCCAAATGCATACATAAATAATAATATCTTCCAAGGTGGTAGTGATTGAAAAGATATTAACATAACATAACGTGATATACCATAATGGAAGACAGAAATGAACACATCTGGGAGGGACTGGGAGAGATCTTGAATATTCCAAATCCAAAATCTTTTTGTTCACTCAACACCCTGCAAGGAGGAGGGACCTAAATCCACCCTCTTTTCTTTTGAAACTCCCAGCCATGAAGACTAGAGACTTGTCTAAGAAAAAGCAACCTAGAATCTAGATTTTTTTCAAGGGACTAAAGCTTTAGAAAATGTTTCTGGCACATAAGAAACTTTTGGCCAGACATTTTTCACTTCTGTTTTAAAGGAAGTTTATGCCTATGGAACTCACAGCAATGAAACGTTAGTCCTAAAAACCTAATTATATGTGTATTTTATTTTAGCTATTTCCTCAGCACAGAAGAGTTGCCAAGGACTCGGCATTTATACAGGTATAATTAGTTTTATGCAAAGAGACAACTTTCTGGTTATGGTTGGGAAATAAACTGTTGCCACTTATATGGTAAAAAATGTTGCTGTCAGCTTCCCAGAGCTTTATTTTGGGAATATCATTATTTATCTGTCTGTGTCTTTGTCATCTTCTTCCTCTTCTTCCCTTTCTTTCCCTCTTCCTCTTTTTTGGAAGGAGGAAGAAAACAAGCACAATAACACAGAATATTTTAAACAGGATAAAATGCATTTTAAAGATGAACAAAATGGCAAGATCCTTCTCTTTTATCTTTAGGAGCGTGTTTTGACATCACCGCCCAATGTTAGGCAGAACAAATGTCTGGTCTTTGCAATACCATAAGCAGATGAGCTGTTGCCAAGAACACAATTCTTGTTTTGCTTGTTTCATTATGCAGAAGAGGTCACACTTATCTGTCATCTTCTGAGATGGCATGTACTGAAGAAGACCTCTTTCTAGGGAGGCGGGTCAATCACCTTCATACTCCACTTGTCAACTATCCAGGTCTCTGGTGGACCCAACATTCAGGACTCAGTGGACTGGGTGTGCCCCAAGAAGGCAATTTCCATCAGAACTCTTGGCTTTTCCATTGTTTTACTCAGACTCTTAATGCAGAGTGATATTATTGTTATTATCAGCCCAAATCAATCCACTCCAAGATGAAAGCCTCTTCACTGAACGTTTTGAACCATGTGCTACCATGCTGGTCCAGTGCAAGTTGGTTGACAGGCTTTTTTTGATGTCATAGTCAAGGGCTGGCTTCTATGCTTAAGAGAGGACTAGAACATGGGTCTCCTCACTCTTAATCCAGCACTTTATCCACTACACCAGTGTTTCTCAGTCTTGACAACTTTAAGATATGTGGACTTCAACTCCCAGAAT